AGAGAAAATGCTACAAAAAATGTCAAATGCGAAAAATTTGGCGAAATGTTTTTTTATAAAAACTTTTCCTTTTTTATTTTGTCAACATATTGTTTTTGCGTATTCAAGATACTCTAGACAGAACGACTGGTATTGTAAATATAACTGGTAAACCAATTAATATTGGTGGCTCATCAATTGGTGGTAGTACAACTGCAACTGTTTATTTTAATGGTTATATTGATCATTTAATTATAACACAACGTGTAAAAACAGCATGTGAAATATTACCAGATGCAAAATTAACTGTGTATTATCCATTTGAAAACTCTATTCATGATTATGGTCCAAATATAATTACTGGTACATTATCAAATGGTACAGGAACATCGTTCATAACTAGCGGACGTGTAGATACATATGCATTACAGTTAAATATGACAGATAGTTATTTTCGAATACCAAGTTTAACATCACTTGGTACATCAAATCAATCATTTACAATTGCACTGTGGATAAAACCAACAGCATTAAGTGGAACATTGATACATTTATCATCTCAATCGAATGGTATGTTATATGCTTTGGTTTATGTTTAATAGAGTGAAAGAACTTGATTTGTTGGCACAGTTGACAGCAGACACCAAAAGTGAAGGCCGCATTCACCATACTAATCTTCACTTTTAAATAGCACACTTTCAAAGTACTTTCCAGTAGCAATTGTGCCCAGAGACTCATTCTGACACAAATATGTAAGATAAACTCAATTTTAATCATTCATTATTTCTTTTTTTACCACTAGGTCTAGGTTGGTGTACACCATTTATTGGTTTTTCATCGAGTAGACAACTTATTACCAATGTTGTAAGTTCACTGAATACTGTTATTTCTGTTGTTGGTCCACAACTACAATTAACACCATTTTGGACACATATTGCTTAAAAATGGTCATCAGTAAATGGTTTACGTCTTTATATTAATGGCTATTTATATGCAATTGTTGTTACAATAAATGCTACAAAATATTCAGCATCCGGTGCACAAAATTATGCCACATTGGGTACAGTATATGTTAGAATCGATTGGCGACAGTGAAGATAACGACTTGGCGTTAAATGAAC